CCAAGGACCTGGGATAGGCAGATGTTATTGTTTGATGGTGTTAAAGGTATTGTCACAGGATGTAAACTGTTCCAAGTAAAGCTGCCTTGCCCAGGTGTTAATCACCTTGATGGTATTTCTGCCACTGAGTTTGGACTTCAAGATCTTCTTCATTCTTCTGATGTATTCACTACTAACCCTCTTCTTGACTTTAGTGTGCTTGATGTTGTCAGCCTGAAAGATGCCCAGGTATCTGTAATGATCTTCTTCATCCCTGATGTTATTTCCATAGGGCATCTTGATTCCTTCAGTTTTCACTATTTTCCCCCTGTTGACATAAGGATGGCACAGTTGCCCAGTCCAAACTCCATTGCAATATCTTGGCTTGTATATTCAGATAGTGTTGAGCAGCGATTCCATTTCAGATGGTGGTGGTGTTGCTGTTATTATTAATAATAATAATAATTGTTCTTTTTTAGAAGTTTACAAAAAATAAACAAAATACAAAGATAATCCATAGAAAAGAACCAAACAATACTAAAAACAATTAATGAAGAACACCAACCAAAAAATTAAAACTAAACCAGATAAAAAGAAAGAAAAAAGAACCCCCCCCCAAGCCTTTAAAGACTCTAAACATACTTAACAAATTACAGTACTAAAAAACTAAGTTATGTCTTAAATAAATGTCACTGGTTTACAAAAGATACCTTATAATACTATATTATCATCAAAGACAAAAAGTTAAAAAGAAGTCATCTAGTAATACCTCAGTATTCTTGTAAAATATCATAAACTCTATACCAAAGAAGAATATATTATGTCATTATTTGATTAGTTAGAAATATTGCCTTTTCCAGAAGGATAAATTACACATTTCCAAAAATCAATGTCTGGACTAACATCACTTTTCCAATTTCGCAATATCATTCTTTTTGCCACCTACCATGCCCAGTACACCCATTATCAGTGCCTCTTTGGGGAGGACATAATTCTGGCCCCAATTCAGGACTGTTATTACTTTCAAAACCGTGTGTGGTGCAGCACCAGGAACTATTGGGCAATACCAGAATTGCTGATCTGGTCCAATTGTCAAGAGAGGGCTTAATACAGGTCCCCCTTCTTAGGAGGGAGATGGAGCATGGGCCAGGTAACAGGACTTCTAGCAGTGGTTCCCACTTTATGGAATAACCCCCTCCTGGAGATACAGATTCATCCATCCATCCATCCATCCATCCATCCATCCATCCATCCATCCAACCTGTATGTAGCCGCCTATCTCAGCAAGTGACTCTGGGTGGCAATGGCTCTAAACTCTGCTGGGATTTTGTAAACAAGCCAAAACAGTTTTTTCCTTAGCATCCATTTGGGCCTTAGATTAGATAAATTTAGTTTATGGACACCTATGGTATTTACTGATAATTGTTTATAATTATTTTCCATTTTTGTTTGTCTTTGTATCCTACCCAGAGTCTGTAAGGATGGAGCAGTTTATATATATTATAAAATCAGTCAGTCGTGAGCTAGCTTTGGCCCAGAACTTTTGGAACTATTCTCTCTTTTGGCAACTTTGAATTTATTATTTGAATTATGTGGCAAAATGGCATAGAATATTCCATTTTCTTTTTCAGGATGACTTCCTATACAGTGTTTCAATTTTAAGTGGAATCCTTTGTACTACCCTAGCAGTGATCAAATTTATGTTGGGGAATGTGCTTACAAGCAGAGCATTGTTAACAGATGGTAAGTAGCAAACAGATATTTCTTTCTTGATACTATTACATCAAATAAAGGATAATGAAGTAGACATAAGAGAAGGTAATATGTGGTTGGATTAAATTACAGAGAGGAGACTTGGGTAACGTGTGTATAACAGATTTGGCTAACTTTTTTGGGTTCGCTGAACACTTCTTTCTCTCTTTGGCAACCCATGACCTCTTAGAAAAATTAACAAATTTAGAAGCAAACATCATGGACAGAAGTACTCCAGGGACTAACTGGTCCTGTCATTTTGCTGCTTTGAGATTGTGATCATGATGAAAAGCCAGTAAGAGTTTGTCTAAATAAATAAATAAAGCACAGGGATAAATAAAAATTGAAGCCAAATAGCCAGATAAAATGTTTACAGTCAAAGGAGAACAATGTGCCAAAATTCACTGCAGGAATCCGGATGGCTTTTCACACTAGACGTTTAGGACAGAATGTAGACGTTAAAGAAAAAAAGGTCCTAATGTTACCAGATTCAATAATAATAATAGTCCACCTGCATTTTGCCTGAAGTTGCTGTTTGTCTTTTGTTGTTGTTTTCCAGACTCCAGGAATACAGTAGATTATATCACTTATACTCCTAAATATTTTTAATGTGTGCAATGATGGGATTGTCAGGAATCTCTGTTTTGCTATTTAACTGATACCCACCCCGCACGCACACACATGCATTTCACTAGCCAGTGGCTTTCTCTCCACTTTTAAAGTTAAAATGCTTTTAAAATAAGCCTTGAATCACAAAGTTCTTAGCACAGATTTAAAAACTGGGTTCTTTACCTACAAATTATAACTATGTATCTGGTTTGGTGTTGTTTTAGTAACAGCAACAATGAAAACAATCCTTTATAAAATCCTAGATATGTTTTTTTTAAAGACATCATGGAATTTTTTCCACTTTGTCAGCATAATTTATTGTGTTTCCCAGCAACAATGACTGATTGTTCTCACTAGGAATTGTAATTTTGTGACATATCTCTTTTCCTCTGCAGATTCTTGAAGGAAGCATTGATTGATTTATCTATTGTGAAAAATAAAAAGATATGTTTTCTCTCCCATTCCTACTCAGTTGGGAGAAATAACCTTTGATCTCAGTGAGACTTACATCTGGGGTTAACAAGTAGAATTTCACTGTTACTTTATCTCTCATGCATGCACAAAGCAGGGCCAGACTGTGGGCTTTTTTTTTTTTTTTGTTACAATATGTGGTCTTTATCCAGGCCCCTGTGTAGTGACTGCATAAAGAGAATTCCCAAACAATATGAGCAAGACTAATCTTATTTATGAAGAGTCACATGTATTCCCTACCCCAAATGAAAAATCCTTCATGAGCCAAGGCATAGGAAAGTTAATCTGTGAAACAGAAGCTGTAATCCAATAACAGATTGTATAGACAAGCAAGTTGTTTAGAGATATTAACCTAAATTTCAGAATGATTTAATTTGGTTAGCACAGCTATCGTCTCACAGGGCTGTTGGATCAATTACGCTTTTGAATTGCCAACTCTGATGTATAGAGAGACTCAGATATTTACTCATATGTGGGCAGATAGACTGAAGCTTGAGATTCCTCAGACATGCCAAGTTGAGCATCACTTTTTAATCATTGCTGTTACCCCACAGACCCAGATGGGCTCAGAAATACAACTTTGGCACTATGGGCATCTTCAGTGAATTCTCCAACAGAAATGCAAATCAGGATATTTCTTACCCTGTGACCATTCTCCCATGCTGTTCTGTATCCAGAAAATGCTGTTTCCTTATTTGACACTTGCCCTGAGACTCTTGGGGCTAGAAGGGAGACCCCTTTCCTACCTGATCCAAATTTGACTTTACTGCTCAGTAAAAGTAAGAGCTGTATGCTTGGATAGATGATATTCAGGGATCTCCTTTTCTTCCTTCCCCTTTCCTTGGGAATGAGGAAAACTGTGACACATTGGCCAGTTATATGTTCTTTATTACTTGAAGGAAAAACTCTTGCAGCTGTACATGACAATCAGCCAACTGGACATTTTGGAGAACTTGTAACTCATCTCCTTCTCCATAACCTTTGGTGACCTTACATTAGGTGACACTTCTAAGGCCAGATGGAACTGTTATATAAACATGGAGCAGATGTCTCCTATTTTCAAGGCCAGGAAAGAATGGCTAACAGTTCATAGACTTGAAAGGACAGGAGGAAAAGTCATATGATTGGAACTTTGGGCCTGATGTCTATAGAGGGCTTGATTCTTGTGTTCTGCAGTAAACCTGATCTAGCCATGTCAAGTCTGTGAAGCTTCTGTCGTTAATGAATATGGGGTAGATTTCTGAAGAGATGAATTCTGGCTCAAGTCTTTTCTGACACGTTTAGGGAAGTAAGATATATTCACTTGATACTTTTTCAATTATTCTGGTGCCCTGATGGTTTCCCAGCATAATACAAGAAGAGTATGTCTTCTTACTTAATTAAATGTATAAATCTTATCCTCTACCACTCATCTGGGACAAAGTATAATGAAAATATGAATTAAAGTTGATCAGAAAACAAAATAACATTTGAGGATAGCATTAGAATTAGAGAATTATGTTGTGTCAGAGAGTTAAAAATCCAACTGTGTAGAATAGTTTTTATTGGATTTTAAAAGCAGAGCAATGAAGGAGCCAGTCTTACTTCAAGAATGTTCTAGAGTCATGGTGTTGCTATTAAAAAGGCCCTGCCTGAATATCCTCCAAAGTCGATTTTCCATTTGGTAGGCAATGCCAGAGGCTCTGTTGCTCATAATAAACTATGGGCAGGTTTATTAGAGGGTCATGGGCCTTCAAATATCCTAACCCCAAACTATTTAGCATTATAAATAGTATTTTGATTTCATGCACAAAGGGTCCCTGGGGTAGATTCCAGGAGATAATCATCGCTTCTCGGCCTTTTGGCTAAGATCAAGTGTAGTGTGTGTGTAGATAATCATAGACAGGCATGGAGGGAGAAATGGACTGAAAGAGTGATTCAGTCCATAAAGTTCTTGCAATAAATAGGGATGCATAACTGTTAACTCTGCTGGAGTTTTCAGCAGCATTTGATATCACTTAATTAACAAAATTAATGAGTGAGAGGTTGTGGTTGGAGACAGAGTTCCAATTTGGAGAGCCTGTGGTAGGTACAATCTGAAGGTGAACTGATTCTCCCAAGATGCTGTGGAGCCATAGGCATTGCTGCAAAAATACATATTATGATAATAGAGAATGATGCTTGCCTAATGTTAATTTTTATTTTATATAATTTGCCTATTAGCAAAAACTACAGACCTGATTACTAAAAGTTGCCTTATAATGTATAAAAAAGAGAAATGGAACAAACATTCTATTGTTTTAAGCACAGATCTACATGGAAAAATCTAATTCAGTAAATAGAGAGATGAACACCTTCTGACATGCATGTTAGATATTCTACAAATACTGTATCATCTACCTATTTTCTGAGCTTAGGGTAACCAGACCTGTGGTTTTTGCAAATAGCTGAGAATGTTCCCTTTTCTTCCTTTAATTATATCCTTGTGATAATTGCACTGCTGCTGTTTTTTTCCTATTAACAAAATTAAGGAGTGAACTCTGTAATTAGTCTGGTGTCTATGTGTTTAACCTATTTTAGTTAAATATAGCTAAGCCCAGATTTCTGTAGTTTTGCATTGTTAGGTTGAGTAGAATAGAATCCCTAGAAAATGAGAAACTTACTCACAAGCCATTAAAAAATAAGATGTACACAGTTCTTAAAATAAAGGTAAAGTCTCCCTCAAGCTCAATTCCTGGTGACTACATAGACATGTTGAAAAAGTGGCTTTTGATTGATCGTTTTGATGTCCTCAATTTAAGACTAGGATTTTGTGTTGGCACATTTATAATTTGGAGATGATGTTGGGGGCAGTCTCACAACATGATTGCTGTGGGATATAAAATACCCATGTGCCTGCTACCCAGTCTGTCTGGAATATGCTAGCTAGTCCCAATAGCTTCACCAATAAGTTTTTAATTCTGTCTTTACAGAATAGAATCGTCATTTTCAGTTGCTGCTGGAGAAATACATTTAAAATGTCCATGAAGTCCACTAAGCCATTCACTGAGCCTAAGTCTAAATAACATATGGGGGATATTGATGAGATAAACAACCTATTTAGCTAATGCCGGAAAAGAGTGTCTCTGAATATGTTAACCCCGAAGGTGGGGCCAATAGAGGGAGGAGGATTTTCATTGTAATCACTTGCCTTAAAGCAAAGGGCAAGAGTTAGGGTCAAAGGAATATGTATGTATGTATGCATGTGAGTGTATGTATGCGCATGTGAGAGAGTGTTATAGTGATGACACAATGGGGGAACATGAAACCTGTGGGCTTCAGATGAATCATGCATATAACATATTAAGATTGCGGATAATTTGTGTTTATGGATGTGGGGGAGAGATGTGATCAGACTGACATCTTATGGCCAGAAGTTGAAAACAGAGCTGAAATATGACCATTTTTTCCCCTAGTAATTTTATTTTTTGAGAGGCATGTTATTAGTTACTGTCTAGCATTCACAACCCCAGTGGGAAGTTCTCTGAAATGTGGAATTCCTAGTGAATGGCGATGGAGCTCTTGGGTGTGGTTGTCACTGTTGGAGGATATCTCTGGTGTCTCTGAGAACCCAAAGGCACAAATTAGAGCCTTCCTGTCCCCCCGCCCCCCCCCCCAGGGTATATCAAATGTGCCCAGTTGCTCCCTTTTCTGCCACGAGCCCAGGCTATCTGTCCTGGGTGGAGGTTTAGTGGAAGATGCTATAGGGAAAAAGGAGAATTGATAAAAAGTTACAAAAGAACAACCTTTGTGCTGTCAGTAGCTTTTCTGTCAATAATGGGTTCAAGCAATTATTTTATAAACATTGATAAAATAACAAGCAGAGCTAGTCTTTCCTTCCTGCAGCACTGTATAACAGTTTTTCACTGTTTGGGGCTCCGTGTTTTGTTCGTTTGTTTTACAAAAGCGAATAGACTTTCCTTGGCAGCAAGCTTCATCTTCCTCCTCTGCCATATTTGCATAGCTGTCATATTGTCCCTGCGGGATTGGATCTACTGCAGTGCTAGTGAAGTTACTGCTCGGGCTTCTAGAAAGCAGATGGTCAGTATTAATTCAAATGCAGTCCACAGAATTTGATAGTGCAGAGCCTTAAAGACCCAGGACACCTCTACTGTGGCTGCACTGAAGGAATAAATGATTTCATCTTTCTTTGTGTGCAGCTGATGAAATGTATTATAGCTTGCTATTAAAAGCAAGTCTGCCAGTTCCATAGCCTTGCATGGATGGATGTATTCAGGCAGCAGTTGCAAATGGTGAGGACAATTAATGGGTTAATAGGAACCTCAGTGTGTGAATTGGGATAACAGTGATTTATGATATGATGAATTAGATTTCTGAGCTGTAAAGAACACACTCTGAAGTGGACTTTAGTTAGTTGTAGACTATATTTTAAAGCTTTGGGGAGTTGCAATTCAACTAGCAGGCACCAAGGGATAACATCTCAGGTATAACAGCATGCAAGTCTTGCATCCCACAGCATTAGCTATTCCTTGACTTCACTGTTCTAGCGAGGAGGACCTAATCTTAATTTATTTCATTATAGGTTTCAACTCTCTGGTAGGAGGAATCATGGGTTTTTCCATCCTCCTGAGTGCAGAGGTTTTTAAGCACAATGCTTCTGTTTGGTACCTGGATGGAAGTATAGGAGTTCTGATTGGACTCACAATATTTGCCTATGGTGCCAAGTGAGTGAAACTTTTTCTTTTAAAAAATGTATTTTACATTTGCATTTGAATTTTGCTCCATGACTGAGGCATGAAGGAATCTATACCCTGTGTACCATTTATTCAGTGTTTGTATATATTTTCCTGTTCTAATTACAGTGAACTTACTGACTTATTACTAAAAAACTATATTGATTGGAATGCATAATGTAATTTGCTGTTTTCGGATAGGTAAGCACCGATTAGGAGGATACTTAAAAACATGCAGCACTGTTATTTATGGCTGCGTCTTTGTTATTTATAACTATTGCCTTTGACCTGGGTTTCTTTTCATTTTTCAGGCTCCTTATGGATATGGTCCCCCGTGTACGGCAAACACGTCATTATGAAATGTTTGAATGAAGGCAACTCCGCTATGAGGACTGAACACATTTTGCAGGATTTGAAAACATCCTACATCCTGGCAAGTGGGGCCAATCCTGTTTGCAAGATTGAATTTTGTTTTTCACGTTATATTATTTTTGCATCATCATTCGAGGGGAAATCGATCTGTACAAATAGGCAAATACGTGCACTGCTTAGATCTCTGCAATAGCATTTGACATATGCTCCCAAAATCCAGCAAGCTGCAAGAAATGAATGAGACTTCTAATCCTTTTTGCTATATTTTTAAGTGATTGGCCCTCTCAAGACACTTAATAGCTGCCCATTGAAAGGGGCCAAATTAAGAAGAGAAGCAGCAGTAGTGTCTGACTGTGGCTGTTTAGAGGCAAACAGATATATTGGGGCTTGAGTTTCTCCAGGAAAGAGACTATCCTGTCAAAGAGATGGTTTTTAGTTCTTTTACTCCTAAAATTCACAATGGGTGAAGGGCAGCACCTTATTAGTGTCTCAGACTATTGCACAAAAGTCAAGAGTGTTTTACACAGGGTTACCAACAGATCAGGCTTGCTATTTTTATTGATTCAGTATTAAAAATATAAATAATTTTTCTTCCTACAAAATACCAGAGTTTCAATAAAAGGTACCACCCACCCATCCAGCTGTTCAGTCTCCCAGATTTTAGGAACATGGTTTAATCAAGTTTTATAAAATTGAAATATGTCTCTCTTCTTCTCCCCGCTCCCTCTCTCTATCAAGCAACACGAATTAAGCTGCACAGTCAAAATAAGCACAAAGTGTTAATGTACAGTTAAAAGCCAAAAAAAAAGATTGAGGTTTAACATATCGGTTTGTATTATGCACTTATGTAGCAGTATGTCTGGCTAAAATACACGGGTGTCCTGTTGTTTAGTAAAAGTGGAAGTGATGGTTCCATTCTGACAGTAAAGTAGACTCTTAACTACGAAAAGTTAGGCTTTTCTATAGGTATTCACATGCTCGCTCATTTTATGTAATTTAACATCTGGATGACAGAATCCAGCTCTCATCATGTATAATAGATAAAATGTTGTTTTATGAAGTACCTATAACTAACCTTTAAAAAAGCTGTGTATATAGTACATTAAACTAAAAGTCTTCCTGTACAGAAGCACCTTCCAGATAGACAGGTTACTTCTGCCATTTTTCGTAGGTGGAATGTTTTAGCCTTTTAGCAGAGATTTAACATATGGTTAAGTAAATTATGTTTTGAAGTTTACTGCTTAATCCACATGTGTTTGTAGCTCCACCTATTTTGAAAATGGTGCATTTGTAAAGAGGACAAAGTAATTTTATATCTGGCAGAAAAGTGAAGAGTTTATTGGAAGTATGTATATTGGTGTGGAATATCGATTTGCAGATGGGCATCATATTTGCAATTGACATCTTTAATGACACCCTCTACTGTCATTTATTGGTTTCTTGCTTATATATACCATGTTTCAGTGAATGTATCTGTGTGGGGCTCAGAATAGAAGACTGATGGAAGGAACATTTATTTCATTTCACTTCAGAGATTCGGATGCAATGCAGTCTCCTTAATTACTTGTTTGAAAGTGTTTCCATATAAATACTAACTTCTACAGTACACTTCATCACCTCAGACAAAAAGTGTCTTGCCTTGTAGTAATGTTTTTTATTCCATGCAGTCTTCTGAAATAAATGCATTGAACATGATCCAAAAACAGTACGTTTCTTGATGTGGTCATAGAATTAACTTTTGCAGAGGGGCAGTTAAAACTAAAAGTCTTAGCAGGTCATTAATTTACCAAGGAGGTAAATTAATGAGGGATTGCTGGATTAAAACTCTTGCAACAAACCAGACCTATGGCAACTTAAAAGCTAACAAATGTATTATTTCATGAAAGGGTTTTTTTTTTTTTTTGACAAAGCAAATCATGAGCCACCAAAAGCTTATGGAGTAGTATATTTATTATGGCTTTGAGGTGCCACAGGACCTTTCATTGGTTGAGCATAACCTGGATCCTGAGTTTGCTCATCACGAAGGAGCCGTTTGTCTTTAAAAAAAGGGGGGGGGTCCTTCTCAGGGTCCTCAATGGTTTTCCTGGGAACTGGGGCCTTCTCTTCAAGACACACAAATCTGAGACAGAAGCCATATGTTTTGGATGTCAGTCAAATTCAGCAATGGCACGTAGGCTAGAGCACCACTAGTCCTTTGACTCTGCGTGGATGACTACGTAGCCATTTAAAAGCCTTCACAAACCACTTCATTAACTGAGGTTCGTCAGTGTAGTTCACGCAGTGTAAAAACTTCTCAGAAATAGGGACTACAGGTGTCCAAATTTCAATATTATGAAAGCCACAACATTTCAAACATTTACTTTTAAAATAAACTGTTTTGACATCCAAAAGTGCAGTATCTGTATGGCTTATAAGTTGGAAACAGTTGGGCTGTATAGTCAAGCAGCATAAATCCCTATCTGCATATAAATACAAAAAGGTATCATCTCGGTTTTCTCTCCCAAGCACACACAAAAGCATTCATCAGCTCTCACACTGAGCAGGCAAAGGTGAGTCGCAGTAGGACTAGATCTATTACAATGGAGACATTCCCGTGATGCCATACATTCCATTTTTTGTCAAGTTTTAAATATAGGTTTAATGATATTAGATGGTGGGAGTCCCAGTGGTATAGTTGAATATAAATAACTCTTCTTACGACTTTTAAGTGGTGGTGAGAGCAGATAGACAAAACAAGTCAATTACACAGTTTATTGAAAAACAAGATTCTTCCTAGCACTCTCTACAGTAATGAAAATAGTGCATTGTTCTCAGCCATGAAGATACAGTTAGATACACCTTTTTAAATTTCTCGTTATCAAACCTCTGTATTTGCTGGGCAACAATTTTCTTGAACAAAATTAAGCAGGAATTTTGTACAAAATAAATTCAAGCACTTACATTTTTTAAAAAAGTGTTTTTGGAATGGCTTCAGTTGAACTTAAAATAGGTACTAAAAATCTACCAGATTCTTAGCTGAACAAAATGGTGAAAGTAGTACCCAGTAATTTATTTATCTCCATCACTGGCTCCACAATAAGGGGTGTCTCTTATATTTCATGCCTGCAGAGACTGAACATTTTGCCTTCTCGGTGCTTTCTTCCACTCCACCTAGATTTACTGAGGTATTACATGGACAAGCTATCAGCAAGAATAAGCAGACGTGAGAATTTGCATCTGTTTAAGTCAGAGACGGGAAAAGCCCAGGAATTTATATTTTGAAAATACAATTCTTAAATTCACATGAAGAGCTTTACATTTTTTTTTTTTTTGAAAAACATTATTTGGTTGTGCTGCAAAATATTGTTGGAACCCTCCTCAATTTTAATATTTAAATTTAAGGAAGTGTAAGTAATATTTGATAGATGGCAGCTAGCAATCCAGTCAAGTACATAACATATAATTCCAAAATAATTCTTTCCATGCAAACCAGGGCAACTTTTATTCGCTAAGCCCTTAGATGTAATTGTGTTTTCACAACTTTAGTAACTTCATTTACATAATACCTAAATTTTTCATAATGTAAAATGCTAGGAAATATATTAGCCATTGTTCAATGTTCCGAATAAGTGATCAAGAAATTATGCTTACACACACCATGTATATGTTGTAGTTCTTAAACAGAAATGACCATTGCATGAGAAATCTGGTCATTTTTATGACATGAAGGCACTTAGTAAAATGACAGTTCTTGATAAAATTTCAATCATTTGAACAAAAAGGTGATTTTTTTTCCCCAATAGTTTTTTCCGAAAGTGCCTAGGTGAAGGTTTGGATTTTTTCTCTTTATACTCAATGGGCATTTCCATTTCAAAGCTATGCCATAATTATCTATCTATACATATGCACACACCAATATTTGTGACATAGAATTGAGAGAGATGGCTAATTATTTTGGGGCCAGCATGTAAAATTGCATTTAACCTAACCCTAGTTGTTACACAGTACGTTTATTACTCAATAATAGGCTTAAAGTCTTTACTGTGAAAAATTCTAGGTGAATGAGAATGTGATGCAATGAATAGAATTAGAATTAAAATCAGTTACAGTAATAAAACAAAGTTTTTATCATCCAGCACAAGCCCCCTAATGTAATGGGAGGAAAATCCATGAAGGTTGGAAAAAATAGGGATTTATGAACTGAATTAGATAAAACAGCAATGAATAGATATGGCAAGTGGAATGTCAATGTTACTTGAAAGCAAGAAACATAAAACAATTTTACTGCATCAGAAGCCTCTGCCGGCTGCATTTTATATATAGTGATCCATTGTTTAATTGCGTTGTCTGTTTTAACTATCACCTAAATGCATTAACACTGAAACACAGAATGCCCACTTAAAAATACACTGACGTAGCTGCAATGTTAACTACCTGCTTAACCCTTACTATTAAAAATAAACTCTTCAAGCATTTCTAAATGGTAATTTGGTCTTCCATGAACTTCTAAGGAAATAGTACCTTGAAGATAGCCAAAGGTAGGCTGGTGGTGTGCCTCAAATTATCCACGTGTGGTAGAAATGCACAGATTTTTTCCAAAGTTGCTGTGATGGATGCTAATTCTAGAATTCTGAGAATTTCTGATGATTCCTTATTTGAACATGGTGACATGGAAGAATCACGTGGAAATAGAAGCAGGATCCACCTCTTCAATTTATACAGATTCACTAAAAGTAATGTGCTTGCCCTGTCAAAGTGCTAGAGCAGTGTTGTCCAAACCTGGCCACTTTAAGATGAGTGGACTTCAATTCCCAGAATTCCCT